CTGAGTTAGTTCTTAGATTCTGCAGAGACTAAAATTTTGGTAGTGAATAGTGATATGGGTTTATTGCAGCTGAGGTTAATGCAGAGAAACATAAGCAAGTCAAAGACCTTTTCGTGACGTTCCATTGCTACTGCAGTCGAAAAGAGGTAAAACCGCGATAAGATCTCTTGTCCTCGCTTGCTTTGTTTCTAATGTGAACCTGTGATATAGCAAAGCTTCTTCTGGTTATTCGCCTTAGTTTATGTGTGCTTTTATCGCTCTGTTGTTAGATACAATGCCTTGATGTAACGGTTGAGGATGACAACATTGTCAAGTCCCTTGCGGAATATGTTACCAATGGTGTGATTGAGAATTTGGTTCTTGGTGCCTCGTCAAGGCATGGATTCATGAGGTATTATTGTATATATCTCTTTCTCCTTATTAATCCGAAGTCGCGGTCTTTTGTTATCTCCTTATGTTTGTTTCTTTTCGTATAAAGAAAATTCAAGATGTCTGATACACCGAGCAATGTAGCGAAAGCAGCACCTGATTTCTGTACAGTTTACGTCATTTCAAAAGGGAAGGTATCATCTGTCCGTAATGCCTCGCGTGCTGCTCCATATCGATCACCGCTTATGGGTCAGATTGAAAATCACTCTGCAATCTCTAACTATGAAAAATTCAGGAACACCATGAGCTTTAGAGGTAAGGTGATTAACTAGTGTTTTGAGATCTAATCACGTGAAAACGCACGCATCTTGAAATTGTTCTTTCGCTGCTATAAACAGATAGGGGCCCGGGAAGGTCTTCGGTTTCTAGCTCCATTGAAGATTATGGAAAGTAATGCTTCATGATAATCTTTTCTTTTGCCAAGAAACTGATCTGCCTTTAAGGAAAATAAAATGCTTTATCATTCTTTCTTTTGTGGTTATATCATCAACAGGTCACCTATGGCGAGGACATCAAATTACGCAAACTCATTCTATGATTTGTCAGACTCGGAAAACGACATTTCATTTATTTGCTCAGGCAGGCCAAGTACCACAAGCTCAGGCCGCCCAAGTACCACAGGCTCAGGCAGGCCTTTTGCGAGGACATCAAAATACGCAAACTCATTCTTTGATTTGTCAGACTCGGAAAACGACATATCATTTGTTTGCTCAGGCAGGCCAAGTACCACAAGCTCAGGCAGGCCAAGTACAAGCACTAATGGAAGGTCTGACATGTCTTTTGTGAGCTCAGGCAGGCCAAGTACAAGCACTACTGGAAGCCCTTCCTTCATCTACGAGTTTCCTGAATCTGGTTTAACCCCGAGAATGTCCACGGGCTCTGGACAAAGCGTTGGCTCTATGCGTCTAGGAATCAGGTTTAACGACACCAATATCCAACATGAATACTCATTCGTCTCACAAGATAGCGGTCGCTCATCTTGTTCTTGTTCACCACAAAATTTGGTAAGACGCGTTTGATTGGTTAGAGTCAGCAATATATGTTTTTGAGAATGGTTACTACATATGTTTTCTTGAAATGTACAGGAAGAAGTGGAAGCTGAGATGCGGAAATTGAAACAGGAACTGAAACACACAATGGACATGTATAATACAGCTTGCAGAGAAGCAATAGCAGCACAGCAAGAGGTATAATGATATAAAACAAAACCCGTCCCTGTATATATATTCTTGTGCACTGTTGACTGAAAGAAATTTAACTTTTGGATCAAAGGCGAAGGAGCTCCAACGTAAGAAAATGGAAGAGGAAGGATGGGTGCATGAAGGACAATTATCAGAGAAATCTACAAAGTCGACAGTCGAAAAAGAGAGAGCAACCAAAGCTGTCAAGGATGCTTCTCAAACAGCAACCAAGTTAGCAGAGCTTGAAACACAAAAAAGAGCCATAGAAGCTGAAGCTTCTTTCTCTGATTCCAGTTTAAGATACCGGAGGTATGTTATTGGTGAGATTGAAGAAGCCACAAACTCTTTCGACGAGGCTAATAAGATAGGCGAAGGCGGATATGGTCCCGTTTATAAGGGTCACCTTGATCATACCCCTGTTGCTATTAAGGTTTTGAGACCAGATGCTGCTCAAGGAAGATCTCAATTTCAGAGAGAGGTAAAAGCTGACTCTAAAGAAAACATAGACTTCAAAATCTAAAAAAGAATCAGACTTTGGTTTTGGATGTGGACCGACGATTTAGAGTTGTTGCAGGTGGAAGTTCTTAGCTGCATAAGACATCCGCATATGGTGCTACTTATTGGAGCATGTCCAGAGTATGGAGTGCTTGTTTATGAGTATATGGCCAAAGGGAGTTTAGCTGATAGACTGCATAGGCACGGAAGCGGGCCACCGCTCTCGTGGGAGCTCAGGTTTCGCATTGCAGCCGAAGTTGCAACGGGTTTGCTCTTCCTTCACCAGACGAAACCCGAGCCTATAGTGCACCGTGATCTGAAACCCGGAAACATTTTGATTGACCAGAACTACGTGAGCAAAATAGGGGATGTTGGATTAGCCAAACTAGTGCCTGCAGTTGCTGAAAACGNCACACAATGCCACGTCACGTCAACCGCTGGGACTTTCTGTTACATTGACCCGGAATACCAACAAACCGGAATGCTTGGTGTGAAATCTGATGTCTACTCCTTCGGTATCTTGCTTCTCGAGCTGCTCACAGCGAAAAGGCCTACAGGTTTGTCTTTTACCATTGAGCAAGCAGTGGAGCAAGGGAAATTCAAGGAAATGTTAGACCCAGCAGTGCCTAATTGGCCGGTGGAACAAGCTTTGTCTTTGGCAAAGATTGCACTTAAATGCGCGCAACTGAGAAGGAAAGACCGACCAGACCTCGGAAAAGAGGTTTTACCAGAGCTCAATAGACTGAGAGCTCTTGCAGATGCGAATATGGAGTGGATTATGTTCAACTTTAGCAGAGGCCGTTCACCAAATCATAGCCAAACCATCTTGCCACCGGTTGTGAGTAATCGAAAAAGCTATTTCAACATTTCGGTTTTTATCCTCTTCTCATCTTAAAAGTAAAATAAAATCTTTGAAATGCCTCCGTTGCAGGATGAAATGAGCGCAACCTCGGATAGCTCTAATACACATTCAAGTACTTTATCAGAAACAGAGAAGACCTCAGGTGCATTAAAGAATCATATATACTTTCCAACAAATGACTAGTTTTTTTTAAATCATCTTCTATAACATTGTTATGTGTTTATTAACATTTGTTCTTGTTCTTGTATCAGACCAAAATGAAGAGGATTAGCGATCGTTGTCTCTTGAAAGAAAGATGGAGCGAGGTGAGGCTC